TGGCAGCACCCAGAAATTGTTGCTTGCATTTTAAAATGTAATAATAAAGAATATTATCATTTTCAAATTAAGTTGGGCTAAAGTGAGTGACAGCACAAAAACGTTCAATGGTTTTGAAAATGAAATTCCTTCCATACTGCTCATGTGATTGGTTGCTGTGGTTTGTAATATGTCTTGTTATTGATGTGGCATAATTTCGAGTAAAAAATAGTGCTATTCACATTTAAGAATTCACATTTAATATGCAAATTACTTAGCCAGAACCTATTACAATTTGATGCGTTTCATAACAATGACTCATCTGAAAGAAGCTCTGCATTGCCCGTAAATAAGTGCTATGAAAGTTTATTTTTCTAAACTACTTTCAGCATCATAGTCCACGATCTAACATGCGAGATGAAACTAAACTACATTACCTTACATATTTACAATTTACTTGGGAATTTTTTTAAGAAGTGTTGTCAAATCTATTAAAATTTTACTGCTTTCTACTGGATCAAAACAATGTTATTAAGGACATTGGTGATAAAAGGAAACTGTTTGCTATGTCTGATGTGGGAAAAACATTTAATAGCATTTTTTCTGGCAAATGAGCTTGCATTTTAGAGAAAAACGTTATACCCTCAGCTCATAAGATGCAGGCTGAATTTAAGGCACATTTTGGTATAAAAAATATGCTTCTTATGGGACAGGAAATATGGTAATTTATCTCAGAATCAAAATATACCACAATAGCAGAGTACATAACATCCAGTGTCAAAATGATGTGCCAAGAATAAGGTTGACACTGCTGTAACTTAGTGCAATGATAATGGTTTTCCAGTATAGTTGTCAGTTGTTGCTATTTCATGGTAATAAATATGTACATTGCAAGAACAGTAAAGCATTGTATTTTACTGCTTTATTCAACTAAAGTTGGTATTTATTTTAATACAGTGTAAAGTCTTTAATTCAGACGTCCATAATCCGGAATGATATATAATCCGGACCTCAAAGCTACATACTTTCTGCGCATGCGTAAACGCATAATGTGCATGTGCATATGCGTTTACGCGTGCACATATGCACTTACACATGTGCATAATACGTTTACGCATGCGCGTTTAATGTATAACGGACGGTATAAGCTAGGCTAAAATTATCTAATTATGTATTTCAGTTAATATTGCAGATTGCGTTGTTCCTTAATCTTCTAATTGGATCCGGCTTATTTTTTGCAGACTGTTAGAGCAATTTTATAAAAAGTAACCTTGAACTTTTGATTATGTCAAAAAGAGTTTCCAATTCTGGAGCTGCCAAAGGATCTACAAAGCGAAAGCATGTTTCGATGTCTATTAAACAAAAAGTGGAATTGCTGCAAAAAATGGATAAAGGCATGAAGAAAATGACAGAGAGGTAATTTGTTTCTCTAACCATTCCAAAATCTATTTATCAATTTCCTGCTGCTCTGCCAGGGGAGGGGGGGGCAATGTCGCGGCGCGCAGTGAACTGGAAGTTGATCTGCCAGCAGAATCCTCATCTTCAGGGCAGATGTTTTTATTTTATTCGGCTTATAATTCCTCACTAAATGTAGTGTTTCATCTCGATGTACTCTGATATGATTTAAATCAATTTCCTCGTCATTATAAATATCACGAATACACATCAAATAGTTTTCTGGTTGCGATTTTCTAATTTCGACTATGTGTAATGTATGCTTTACGCACGTGCACATTGAAAGAAATGTTTAATAAAGTAAACAAATAAATATTAAGCTTTTTTTGTAAATTTTGATACCCTTTAGATCATAATTGCTCTTTATTTCATAAATTACGGTTTCATATTTTTAATTGTATAATTTCTGCATGCAATCTTACCAGATTTAAAATGATCATCTATAATCCGGAAAAAACCCTAATACAGAATCGCCGAAGTTCCGACGAGTCCGGATTAAAGACTTTGTACTGTAGTTATTATAAGAGCTTTTTTATCTATATTTCAGGATAAAAATATTTTTTACACATGAATGAATGCTTGAACTTGAGTAACAAAACTAATGACACAGACAGCAATGTCAAAAAGTGTCTAAAGAGGTATGTAAGATGTGAAAAAGAAAATATGAGACATTTCTCCAATTTGGCTTTACCTTCAACAATTGTGAGGATAAGAAATAATATTTTTGTTTAATTTCTAATAATAGCTATGGAAAATATGAAACTATGAAAATTAAAAAGGCATCTTGAATCCATGTATCCTTCTTACATCGATAAAACAAAGAATATACTGAAAATTTTCAAATAAAGAAAAGCAATATTTTGAGAAATTTATGACAATATTAACTTGTGCCATATGAAATTTCATATCTGATTACCAAGAGTAAAATCCATACAGAATTGATTAAGATTTTGTATTACCTGCTGCTGTTAAAATGGTAGAAATACTTAATGAAAGTAAATATGATAATGAAATTTGGCAAATCTCTTTTTTAAATGATACTGTTGGCAATAAAATTTATAAAATTAGCCAATACAGTCAAAAGTCTTTAATCCGGACTCGTCGGGACTTCGGCAATTCAGGATTATGGATTTTTCAGGATTATAGATCATCAGTTTAAATCTGGTAAGATGGCATGCAGAAATTATAAAATTAAAAATATGAAAACGTAATTTATGAAATAAAGAACAATTATGATCTAAAGCATATCAAAATTTACAAAAAGAAAAAGCTTACTATTTATTTGTTTACTTTATTAAACATTTCTTTCAATGTAAGTTGTTTAAGTTGCTTTGTTTTTTATTTGATAAAACTTTCTCTTCAATTCTACTAAACAGACATAATTTCTTGTTTAGTTACAAAGTTCCGCTGTTCAAGTACTATAATTGCTGTGTCGAAAATACTGACTAATTTGTCAATCGAAATTTTTTCGTTTTCAATAACCTGTGTCACTTTCTTCACTATCGGAACTATCGGAAGTCAATTATAATGACGAGGAACTTACATTACACATACATTACACATATTCGAAATTAGAAAATTGCAACCAGAAAACTATTTGATGTGTATTCGTGATATTTACAATGACGAGGAATTTGATTTAAATCATATCAAAGACGGAGTACATCGAGATGAAATACTACATTTAGTAAGGATTTATAAGCCAAATAAAATAAAAACATTTGCCCTGAAGATAAGGATAGTGCTGACAGATCAACTTCCAATTCATTGCGCTCTGCCTCATTTCCCTCCCCCCACAGAACAGCGTGAAATTGATAAACATATTTTGGAATGATTAGATAATTAAAGGATATGCCTTCATCCATTTTTTGCAGCAATTCCACTTTCTGTTTAACAGACTTCGAAACATACTTTCGCTTTGTACATCCTTTACATATTAGCAAACATAAATCAGAAATTCTATTTGACATAATCGAAAGTTCAAGCTTACTTTTATAAAATTGCTCTAACAGTCTGCAAAAAATAAGCCGGATCCAATTCGAAGATTAAGGAACAACGCAATTTGCAACATTAACTGAATTAGATAATTTTAGCTTAGCTTATACCGTCCGTTATACATTAAACGCGCATGCGTAAACATATTATGTGCATGCGCACATGCATATTCGCAGCCGTAAAGGTCTTGCACGCACGCGTAAACGCCTATGTGCATGCGTCAACGCGACACATGTGCAGAAAGTTTGTAGCTTTGAGGTCTGGATTATAGATCATTCCGGATTATGGGTGTCTGAATAAACAACTTTTGACTGTACCAATTTGAGTAACTTGTTAAAGAAAGCCAAAAATTAACAATTCAGTTGGACATCAATACAGTCAGACTGATATTTTAAAAAAGGCTTTATTTCTTAGTACATGTTAGAAACATTTATAAAGAAAATATCAATGAAGAATTGTTATTTTCTCATCCTTTGGAAAAGCATAACAGAGGGGAAGACCTATACAGTAAAGTTGCAGAATTTTTTTAAATCAAGAGTTTAAAATGGAAAAATTGCATTGAAGTACACATAAATGGTACGAAAGCAATGTAGGCTAAAAATCATTAACTCATGTGATTAATGTTTTATATTATTTTTTAAAGCTGCTGGTAATAATCATGCAAATTTTACGCCCTGCCTAATTAATTGAGAGGTTCTTGCAGCCAAAAAAAAATTAGCAACAGAATTCAACAAAGTTCTTGAGAATGTTGTCAAAATTATAAACGTTTATTAAAAGCAGTGCCCTTAACAGCTGTTTATTTTTAAATCTCTTTAAAGATACTGACAGCGAATTAAAACAAAAATTAGCATTACACATAGAAGATGTTGAAGATTAAGAAGATTATTGTTGTTAAAATATGAAATCATTATATTTTACCAAATAAAAATCTGTTCTTGCTGCTATTTTTGAAAATGACTTTTGGCTATTAAAGCTGGACTATTTTATTAGATATTTCTGAAAACCTGTGCAATCTCAGCTTGTCTATTCAAAGAAAAAAACAACAATACTTATTTCAAATGATAAAATTGCAGGTTTTTATTAAAAATATCATCATTTGAAAAAATAGGGTGCAAATAATCATTTGGAAAAATAGGGTGGAAAATTATTTGAAATGTTTCTGACTTAACAATTTTATAATCGATAAAAAATTATTGTAAAACTTTAATTATGAAAATCCTTATAGATTACAATAAAAAAAAAACCCTTAGAAACACAGTTTTGCAGACACTTTATGCCAAATTTTGATTTCAAAAGATTATCTTGGATTTAAAAACCATTTGATATAAATGAGATTAATCATCTGCCATAAAAATCCTTGAGAGGATTCTGGATTGGATCTAAAAATGAATTTTATTTTAGCTTATTTTAGAAAGTTTAGAAAAACACTTTAAAAAGAAAAAAAAATTCCAACATTAAAAAAATTTTTGAGCAGAAGATAAATTTTAAAGTCACTCTTTAAATTATCAAGCATAGAAATGCAAAAATCATAGTAAAGCCAAGCTGAATAATGTACTGAAAAAATAGCCCACCTATTATGATATGTAACAATTGCTGAAAAGGAACGAGCTAAAATTCTGAAACACATCAGACTCACATGCCAATATAACCACTTTTTGAACCTAAAACGAAAATTTTATAATTATTAAATAATTACACCACCTTATAACTGGAAACAAATTATACACAAAAACAGGTTCAGAGTACAGGCATTAAATATACAGTTAAATCAATTCTTAAATAGTAAGAGTACTTCCCATAATGGAAATTAAAAATTAAGTTATGATCCATAATAGCCCATAAAAGTGGGTTGAATAACTGGCTGGTTTTTATAGCTTAAAATCAAATAAAGATTATGAAATGCTAGACATAGAACAGACATTTTTCTAATTTAAAAAGAGAAATGTGTAACGTATCTTACTTTAATTAACCAGTTATTATGATTTTGACCTTTACTATGATTATTTCGCTTCCATAGGCCTCACCAGAATGCAAATTAACTTTGAAAGCATATAAGTTGAGGGTTTTGAATATTAGAGAGACAGCATCTGGAACTCCTGCGGCACTGTTAAAATTTGCCAGCTTTGCTTAACACTGATATTTCAACTTGGGCATTCTCACGCTACACGATATTTTAGACTTAAGTGATGGCAAAATATTGAGCCAGCATATAGCTTATTTTGTTCAATCTGTAGTCTTGGGGTACATTAACCATGTTTGAATTTATTTGTCTGTTACTGCTTAATTTATATTGTCAAACGAGGTAGTTTGTTTGTAGCACAAGTTCTGCTTTTTATGTTAAAAGTTTAGGCAAAGCAAACAGGTTACTTTAGAACTTTCTCCTAAAACTAAAAATTTGTGAATATTTAAGAAATAGCAATAACTTGTATAGTAGGATCTGCAGGACTTAACTCCAGTTTTCAGATCAGTTGCAATCTTACAAATGTATCAAAAATACACAAAATACCAAATGATAATAATTTTAAAAACCGCAATCTAATTGCTTTATTAAAATTCCACTTTAACACTTGAGATGACTGTAAGCTAAAACAATGAAGAGATTGCCAGATAGACTTTAGTTATACAAGCTAATGTCAACTGGAATATGCATGATCTTTAACCCTCTCGCTGCGCATCCCGCGATTTCCATGGGCAACGTAGAAGTAGCAAAATTTGCACAGCGCAACCCGCGATTTCCGCAGGGATGAATTTTTGCCATCTATTTAACTGTGCAACCTGCTCTTTCTTAGTTCAAGTTTTCCTTTCGGCTTTTCGGCTTTTGATGTTTGATTGCTTATTTACATGTGGGCTAACAGATGGCATTAGTTGTCCACATTTCTGCCAACTATACAAGAATACGTAACGTAGCATTTTGCGCACGCTTTTTAGAGCTCAAAGATGTCTGGCAGGAAGTGTTTTGCGAGTGATATAACCTATATTCCTGATGATATTTCCAACATTGCTAGTAGTTTTGACTCTGGTTTCAAGTATATTGAAGATAGTTATAGCGAATCTGATGAGAATTTCTCTGCAGATAATGATGAATCTGAAAATTCAGTTTCCATTGAAAATGTTGGACAGTGGTGCAAAATTTATTATGCCAAACATTACATTATGCAAATATTTTCATTAGCATATATGTTTTACCTTTGTATTTTATAAAATAAATCATAATTTAAGCAATATTATTTTTCAGAATTTTCCTTTTATACTATTATTCTTCAATTTTGACAACCTTTTTCTATGATCTAATTCTATATTAAAATAAAAAACTCTTAAAATTTTTTTATATATTTTAACTCTAAAATATATGTAGATTTGAAATATGTAATAAAACAAAAGTGCAATTTTTGAGCCTATTTTGATAAAAAAAAAACGTACGCAGTGAGAGGGTTAACTGTTCACTAATGAAATGCTATAAAAATATTACAAAGGATTTGGAGATGCATAAGCTTGTATGCCTAGGACAGGTAGTCATATATAAGTACTTTAGACAACTAGGCACTGAGTTCATTACATTACATTAAATCGTAGAAATTTGATAGGGCTATGGAAGTTTCCAACATAAACTTCACAATATTAGATCATACAATTAAAATTGTCTGAAATACTCAATATAAACTGAAAATTTTAGACAAACCTTCCTTCTGGTATGTAGCCAATAATAGTAGTACAAATAATAAGCCATCCAACTCCAATAACAGTTATAAATAACCTAAAAAAGTAAAATAAATTCATATCAAATAAAGAAAGCAAACATTTTCATCATTTTAACTTTAAGATGCATATAATCAAATGACTTGAGTATTCAAAAGAGATGACATTGGTATTATTTCATACACTAGATGGTAAATTTCCAAAACTGCTTTAGGTTTAACAAATTGCGATTTGCATTATGTAATACAACTCTGATCATATCTTGTATGAAAATGATAGCAACTACTGAGGATACAACTTATACACAGAAAATTACATAATATTTAGAAGTATATTTTTAATTCTGATACAACCTAATAAAAACTTTGAATAATCCAAGACTATAGCTGTATACCTCCACTACATAAATATATAATTTCTTAATCATAAAGCATTTCTATAATTTTGCATGGTTTATGGTTATAAAGACAGAAAAACCTCTTGAAAAATCATCTGATGAGTTATATAACAATTTCGGATTGTCATTAGGTATGTATAAATTCTGCCTGACATCTCAAGCTGATAATGACATTTATTTTTGAAAGACTGAGTTTAAACTCACAACTATTTACATCAAAGAATACCGATACACAAAAATATTTAATTGAAATATTTAATTATGAGAAAGCACAAAAAGGAACTCCGTCAATGGTAAGAGATACCTTTGAGCTGCCCTTCAGTTTCAAAAGCAAATCATCTAATGTAAAAAAGGGAAGCTTGCTCATATTATAATGAGGGAAACCGTGAAGATCTTATGCAACCAGTTTTTTAAAACTTTAGGACAGAAACAGTAAATAATTTGAACTACTAGTCTTTTTCACTTATATTTGTTACAAGTGGGCTCAGAAATAGAATACATACTGCTTTCAAACTGAATACCAAAACACAATTTCTTTTCAACTTAATTAAGTACGTCCTAATTACCTCATGTTTCATTATACTGGTAATGGGCCAGCATGTGGCTTTGAACTGATCTCTTATGCACTAATACCTGGTTTTAGTCTGTGATTTTGGCTAGTTGCATAAATTATTTCTATAAAAGTGCATCAATTTAATGTATTTTTGTAATACTGAATGTTATGAAGACAAATCTTCCAGCTATTGGCATCCTCCATACTTGTTATTTTGATGGTTAAATAAATTTTCATAGTCTTACTTCCCTCAATTTCTAAGTATCGCATACAAAGATAAACAGAAGCTTAAAATTCCAGAAAAAGTACTCCTCTTCAACAGTCTTGCATTTAATAAATAATCTATTTTAAAAACTACAAAGTACTTAAACCATTGCCATAACTCCAACAAAGGACGAATGAGCACTTATTGCTAAAAAACAGTTTCTTATATTTGGATGACAGTTTCTTAATATACTTATAAATACTGAAGCAAAATTACTGAAATTTGAAAAGCCTATTTAAGCACTTAGATTGCAATGAAACTTGAAATTTGGAAATAATATAACAAAGAAAACCACTAGAGCAACTGATAATAAAGATAAAATACAGCATAGCAATAAAATCCCTAATCTTAATTTTTTCTAAATGCAGAGTTCCTATTAATACCCTCACCACAGGAAAATAAACAAAATAAAAGCATACAGCCTACCTTCACATGTACACAATGTAGAGGTGAACAACTTCCATATATGTGAGGGCCAAATTAAGATGTGTACTGATGCCACAGCCTGCACAATGCTTTGTTTTGCCAATATTTGGGAAAATATCCTGAAGTAATAAACATGTTTATATCACAACTACTGTCACATACAGGGTGTTACAAAAACATTACATGATTAAATATCTCTTAAATGATATGTCAGAGATCTATTGGCTCCAGTTTAAGCAAGTCAAAAAACAAAAACAAACAAAAACAAAAAAAAAGCCTCCAGAAGTAGACAGTTTTTGTCATTTGATGCATATTAGTAAAAGAATGTGAAAATTTGATTTTTACAATGTAGTCAAAAAAAAAAAAAAAGATTACACTATCCGGCAATTAAAAATATTAGATTATAGTAATTCAACTTTTCAGGATCATTTACAAATAATACTGAAGACTGGCATGTTAAAGCTACTAAATGCAAACTTCAAAAATATTAATTTAGAAGTATTAGTTTCAAATGACTTTGTGGAAATTTTAAATTTATAATTTTGCCTTTATTTTCATATGGCAAATATAATTCGGTACTTTTCCGTTTTGCCGGCGCAAGCGATAACGTCGCCAATAATGGTACAACTGATGCCAAACGGAATATTCTCGCTGGTAACCTTTTACGGCTCATTTTCAAAACAAGTCGCAGCTTTTTCTTATCAGATTGATTGTTTCTTTCATTACTGGCATATAATTACATAGAATTTTTATCAGATAGTTCAGTTTTATGTCTAAGGCCATTTTCGGTAATTAAGTCAGTTAGGATGCAATCACAGCGCTTGCCCGAAGCCGAAAATATAGAAAAGGTAAAGTCAAAGGTTAAATTCCTCGACTCTAATGAGAATGCATTAGCGAAGTAAAGTACTGCATTTTTACATAATTTCTGAGTAAGTTATTCGTACGAACTGAATTATTTCTTGCATTTAAACTTGTGTTCCAAATTAAGATTTAAGTTCAAATTAATGTAGATAATTACTGAGAGCATTAGATTTTGTAGAGTAGTTTACGTGAGATGAGATCGCTTGGGGTCACGTGATATGAACCGGCGAATCAGGATGTTGAACCATAATAAATTCTTAATTTAATGTCTTTTTGCAAATTTATTGCCTTCATTTATTGGCTTTTTATAAAATTGTAAGCGATATTAAAATGTTTATGCCTTCAAAAAAAAAGAATTCTTAGAACTAACATTCCTTTTTTAATATTTTTTATGTGCATACTGTATGTTGTCGCCAATAAAGTCTGCTTGGCGAGATTTGCGCCGGCGAAATGGAAAAGTACCTATAATTCTTATCCTTTTCAATAAGTCACAATTTTTAGACTCCCTCCCCCTAGGAATAACTTTGCATATTATGGACAACTTTGTTTTTCTGAAAGATATTTGGCAGGATAATGAACAATGTATTAGCTGTAATTTTTCTTCCCTTTAAGAAAAAGGCTGCATAAAAATTTATATTTCATATATTTTTATTAAATGGAATCGTCACTAAATCTGTCATACCTTGAAAATCTACCTTATTTGATTCATTTCTAAAACTGGAACCATGCATCTATGACAAAACATTTAAGACACATTTCATCACACAATTTTTTTAAACACCCTGTATTTTTCAAATTGTACTCCGTGTCAAAAAAACTCCATACATCTAAAAAACATTTTCACTCATGTTGAAACCTTCACAAGAATAATGAGGAGACAAAGATGAAAAAATACTGGAAAGCAATTAATTTTTTAATTGAGCAAACATTAAATACAAAACTATTATACATTAGAAAGATGCATAGTAATCTCTGGTGGCAATTCATAAGACTATTCAACATCAGTTATCGTTCAGTGGAACTGCTGTCAAATATTTTATAACTGCATAGCAAGTTCACATATGTCAAGATGATTGCAAATGGCATCTAACATAGCCCATATGTATTCAGAAGTAAAAAAATCTGAAAGGCCAAGGGAGGGCTATGACACTGCACAAATATTCCCTGATGACATTTGCACAGTGTAAAACAGACATTATCTTGTTGAAAAATGGCTCTCAACCCAGATGCCACTTCTGTCATTTCCACATATTCTTTTATGGCTCCAGTTTCATCTGTTGGACTTGCTTTTGCAGTCTTTCTTGGCCAAATTTTATTTCTTCTCGTCCAGCTTTCATCTCTTCTTGTCTGGCTTTCATATCTTCCAGTCCAGCCTTCATCTTAGCACTCGTATCTACATATCCAGCTACATATCTCATCATATCTGGCTTTGATTTCAGCCTTCATCTCTTCATATCCAGCTTTTATCTCTTCATATCCAGCTTTCAACTCTTCTAGCCTGGCTTTTATAGCTGCTAAGAAGTCCATTAGCTTCATTTCCTCCGCCATGGCTTTTTGCTGTGGGCAGGTCACTGGCCTTCCTGGTATTCATGCCAGATGATATCTGTATACTGTTGGTCTATTAAATTACAGTAAGGAATTACTGAGGGTGACTAAGCATCATAAATAATGGTTCTCCAAAAGGTAACACCAGACGTGAAGGGCATAAGCCCCTCCATAATGGAGTAAGCAGCACTGACCAGGTTTTCTCTACATGCAAATTCTCAATCCATACAAGCTAAGCAAGAACTCTGAATCATGGTTGAATATGATTTGACTCCAGTTCTGCAGATTCCAAGCTTCACAGCCATGACACCAAGCATTAAACGGCCATGACACCAAGCATTAAGTGTGTGTTAATGACCAAGAGTCAGTGGCATAATGAGCTATGAGAAAGTCCAATTTCTTATGGCTGTTTTTCAATAATGCTTCATGACATCAAATGCACAGAAAGCGGGCTTATATGATTCTAAAAGGCAGACAATAACACTTTCAGTTTACTTATGGTTTAACAAGTTGTCAGCCTAAGCTTGCAACTGCCCTTGCATCAATTATGGGGTTATCACATCTCGTGATGTATGAGGGAAAAGAAAATTTTTGCAAGAAATGAGCTTTTCCCTCTCCTACCATTAGAGGGTATCTAATTAAACATAATTCAGTACAACATGTGTCTCACCTAGCTATGTGTGACTTTGAAAATGACCTGAAAATGTCTCAATTGATGTTTTGTCCCTCGCATGATTCCTCCAAAAACCTGGTTTCTTCGTAAGTCAATCAGTCAGATATTTCCATACCAAAATTCTGGAAAATGTTTCTTTCAATGCATAGTTGAGAGTAGCTTGTAAATATGATATCATTTATATGAGCATCCTATTAGAACCAGTAGTAACACATCTCACTATATTATGTCCCCCCTCATGCATGGCGATTCATTATTACAACCAGCCTACATCCTTGAAGGCAGTGATTCAAAATCAGGTAGATTTGCTTTAATGATCGCACTAGCTTGTTTTACAT